CCTCATCCTTTGCTTAGCCTTCTCCAGAAATTATTTCAGGGGTCTCTCGATCGTCATGTATCATATGCATTAGTTGTTTCAAAATAGTTAACCGTTTCCTCATCCTTTGCTTAGCCTTCTCCAGAAATTATTTCAGGGGTCTCTTGATCGTCAAATATCATTATGTTTAATTAATTTATATTATTTTACTAGGTCCTTGACCTCCTAGGGACTACCTTCATAATATACATACTTCATCGTGATTGAAATTATTTTGGTAGGTGGTGGACCTTCAGCTTCTCATACGATGCTAATTATTTTAGGGTACCTCATACCCACCTCTCCTAATTAATCTGGCACCCACCACCAACGGGGTTGCCCCAAATAATATACAGCTATAATTAATTTAAAAAAAAATATTTTAGTAGGTGACGGGTCCGGTGAAATAATTTTACATTGGGACGGGTGATGTGAAAATGGTATCTACTTTTGCGAACTCAAAGAAAACTGTTGCAAACAACATAAGAGGCCCTCAATGAACCCCAGGCCTTGTGTTGACCTCTTAATCAATTGGCACAATATAGCTGTAACAATTGTAACACAAATGGTTCATAATATAATATAAGTGCATAACATGTTCTTCTCAACGCTTCATCATGAAACCCCCCTTTGCCATCCCCTGCCACACTTTGTGTGCCACATTCATCAGCTTGCCGTCCAGGCGCCAGCATGGCCAAACTGGTCACCCAGTCGCTTCCCAAGGCCCAAATGGAACTGCTTATGGACACCTCGACGGGCAGTGGCCGAGCTGCGGCTTCGAGGCTTCGAGGCCGAGGGGACGGTTGACTCAAGGAAGCTGGCCAGGTGGCTAGGTTGTAAAGCAACGGATCCAAACAACTAGATTATCACATCACTTATTTAATGACTCCACAAGTGACTAGTGACCGGCATGGTTTGCCAGGGAAAGCTGCCAAACATGCTAAGATTGAAGTTCAAGCGCTGCATCGAGTTCCAAGGTCTTCTTGTCCATCTCAGCCAATAGTGCAAGAATTGTAGAATGCTCAGAAGCGCAACGCCTTGGCTTCTGCGGAGGTTATATTCAAAGATATGAATGGCAATGCCAACTGAGTGCTTTAAACAACATTTGCAGGTATTGTTTGGTCTACCGGTCTAGAGTTTTGGATCTGGGGTGATCTGGGCCAAATAAGATATCAATGTCGACTTACATCTAGTAGTTTCTTGTTACTATAGTAGCGATGGCCTCCAGCCTAATAGCGATGGCCTCCACCTAGTAGCTTCTTGCTACTAGTAGTAATGCCAGGAGCTACTAGTAGTTTCTTGTTCTTAGTAGCGATGCCCTTTGTTACTAGTAGTTTATTGTTGCTCTATCTCAAACTCCAAATATATCCTGCATGCTTCCCATCCGATGTTTTGTTGGAACAAATGTGATGCAACAGGAGCATACTTTCGTGGGATCGTGGGACGCACCACTCTACTACCAATGGCGTGCACGCCCTCTCCAAACCTCTAGAACTCATCCCCTGTAATTGTTGGGTAGGGTGTCTATCCAGGCATTTCATAGAGAAATTGTGTCTATAAAGTGCATACCCTGACATAAATTCACTATAAAATGCAAGGATAGACATGTGTATAAAATGCCTGGATCAACATCCAAGCATGGGTGACACAGGCTGCAAAAAGCTGTCAGCAGGATTCTGAAAAATGTCAACCCTGACTTCTCCGGCAGAAAGACACCTGGCACTATAAAATGCAAAAGCCAGGGGTGTAAAAGACCCTAGCTTCAACACAGACTACAATCTATAAAATGCACATTGCAGTGATCAAGCGTTGATCAACAAATGAATGGTGGAAGGGACAAGAAAGGACAAGAGAAATGTAGAGAAACGCTCCCATCTCTGATCTCTATGAAATGCCTGTTTGCAACATACCAAGCCTCTATGAAATGCCTTTGTGACATCATGCAAAAAGAGCAGCCGCCACTATAAAATGCCTATCCAGGCAAATGATTGCATCATCCACATGTCAGCCGCTCCTGGCCTTACTACTAGGAGCAAGAAGCTACTAGGGGCTCCTGGCCTTACTACTAGTAACAAGGACCCATAGCAATCCATAGTGGTTGCCCAAAGCTTCACATACAGGATTCGTTGCCTGCCCCCTCTCCGGACCAGAGTGCTTGATGGCGGCAGTGTAGCTCATGATCCCAGGTTGCAACTCTGCTTGCGACGCCTGCAGTGGATGGAAACACCAATCAAATATGCAAGAGGTTTCAGGCCCTTGAATTCAAAACAATATTACCAACTGCTAATTGCTCAACCATAAGGCCATCTAGGATGGTTCCTGATTGCCCTGTGCAACTTTGAAAAAAAGAAAAACACAAAAACGGCAGTCACGGGCGGGTCAGTCGTTGGAGCTTAGGAATAAAACAAAACCATTGAAAGGCGCAAATGGGACTGTGCCACATGTCTCCACTAACGGAAGCGAATTGACTTCAGTAGCGGTTTTAAAAAAGCGAGAGACCTTGTACAGCCCCCAAAACTGCTGGCCTTACCAAAAAATCATTAAAACACTATTATATTAAAAGACCGCTCCTTCGCCGTGGCGGTCGCCTTCTCCATCCTTCTCCCTTCGGTTTGATTGGGCCGTCGTTTTCCTGCCTCTTCCAAAATGGCCACGCTCTGCTCCCAGTTGGCCCGTTGGATCGCTTTCGCATAGTGCGCATCCACCGGATCGAAGCGCATGACACGAGGTCGCCGCCACGTGCCGAGAGAGCCAAGCGCTGGCCGTGCCGAGCCGCCGGATGGGAAAGGTCCAAAGGACGACCGCCAAGCAAAACACAAAACGCAAATTGTACAAATCGCTTCTCAGAAACCAGCATGAAACAGCAAAGATTCCCGAATACTTGTGGTTTATGTTATTGTGTGTCTTGTCTCGGATTTGAAGATCCATGGACTCCATGGATCATCTTCAAACACCAAACTTAGGGATATTTCAGTCCCATCATCTCTATGGCCCAGTCAAGCACGGGTCAGTGAAGAACGAATAACAACCGGAAACCGGTTGAAGCAACCGGTTTCGCGACCGGAGAAGCAGCAAAAGCAATTAAACCATGCCTTAGCAAGCTTCTGGCAGTGGATGCTGGCCTCCATAATGCAGGGAGGGAACAAAGACGTGCTTGCTGCAACAGCGAAGGAATTACCGCTCGAGTGTTCAATGCGAGCTTCATGAAAAGAAACCAACATAGTTCAGGCAGCTCTGTGAAGTATGTGGCATGGGCTTCTCTCCCCCCTCCACCGCTGGTGCCTGGTGAGGGGTGGTGACGTCGTCCGGGGGCGTTGGGTCTCCGGCCGGCCGGAACCTGGCTCCTGGTGGTTTGTGAAGAAAAAACGTCTCTTCTGGAATTGATCAAGAACCGGTGTTTGGTTTGAAGACTGGGGTGTGAGCCCAAACCTCGGCAAATCGTCGGTCTTGCATGTCGATAAGGGTGCTGAGATGGCTGAAGGTTTCCTATGGTCCGTCTGTGATGTGGATGCGACAAAGCAATCTGCAGTGTCTCAAAGCCGCTGACCAGAAGCCTCGTTGATCGGTTTTAAAGGTAAAGGATACAGAAGGGAAAGGCAACATAGTGAAAAAATAACAACTCAGTCAGCCCCCGTGCTCCCATGCTTCTGTGCTCTCCAAGCAACCATGATTGGGCAAATTCATCGCGTCGTCCCAGAGAAGAAAAGCAGTGAATCGGTCCCATTCCGCAGTGTCCTCCACCACATCTGGAGCTCGGGTGTCAGCCAAATGGGAGTAGCCTGGAACAAACAGATTCAGCAAACCCAAACATTGCCATGCAACAAACCCCAAGCATTTCACAATCGAGTAGCGGGGCCAACTGGCCAAGCATTTGGGATCTCGTTAATGACACCTCACCTCAACACCTCATGGATGATTAGATGATTCTTGCAGAATTTCAACAACATTCTCTCAGTCAAGGGTTGACCACGGCCTGCAAAAAAGGTTGGTAAGACTAGGTCCAATTCCGAGTATGTGAAACTGTCACTGTCATGCGAAAAAGTCTGATGTGTCTGTCAAATGGTTGAGTTCTTTTTGTTTCTCCCCAAGGAGTGGTCTAACAAAGCATGACATCATGTGGAGTTTTGGAAGATTGGATAAACTGGTTCAAAACGACTATACTGGACAGGTAAAACAAATGAAACCTGTTACCTCTCTATTCCTCATCATGCCAACTTCAAACCAGTTCTCCACCTATTTATTTGGGGATCACCATATATATATATGGATCGATATATTTGTATATGGTATCAATTCTATGCATGGAGTGTATTTCTGATCCGAAAGCTCAATCTTTCCAAGTTGCTCTCATGCCAGGCTTTCGGACATTTTTGGGGAGAGCTTGACCTGTCGATACACTGAGGCTCACCGACACTTGACTACTGTCTTGCAGTTTACAGCCTCACGGCCTCAAGGAATACTCTCATAAATACACTTCACAATGAATATTGAATCTGGTTCACATGAGTATATAAATGGCTTGCTGAATCTGATTGTTTGCAGAATCCGTTTTTCTTGACCATGCAGGAGACGGGGGCGCTTATCAATGAACACTTAAAACGTTCAATCCCTACAAGTCTACTACAAGTCCAAAGACCCAGTAAAACTTGGTCCTTTACCTGTCTGAATAGTGTTTTTGTATGACCAACGTCAGTAAAATGAGGTCATTGCCTTGTAGGGAATGTTATATATAGAAAAAACACCAGCCATCAGACTCGTCCGACCTGTCAGACTTCACTCTTTCACCTGGAGAAGACTCATTCCAAGCCTGCTGGCACCAGCAGGACTGTCACCGACGAGCGGCACGGCCACAGAGATCTTCCCCTTGGTGGGGCGACCGATTCGAGCGACCGAACCAACCTCACCGACTCGGTGGGGCGACCAGCTGGGGCGAACGAGAAAAGAAAAGACTTGAAATCGATGTCTCGTCACCATCATGAAATCCGACCACTTCATGTCGTCTTTTTGCATGTCAAGTCTTGAGACGTTTCATCACTTTATGAATCCATCGACCACTCATCATGTTCCGATGTTGCTGTATCCAGTAAGCGCAGGACTGCAAGCCTGGCCTGCCAAACCAACACAGGTTCATCAGTTTAGGAGCTGCAACCAATGTGTCATTGACGGCAACAGGCTAAACGGAGGCTGACCAGGTCGACCAAGTGACAAAGGTTCTCGATGGTCAGACCACACCACAAGAAGGCCGGATAACCATAACAATTATTCATAATTATATAATATATATATGCATGTATGTATATAACTACGTATATGCGAATATATATATATATTTATGATACATGTTCATAATCATACATCCACATATTGTATGTAGAATCGCAAAGTGTTTGTCAAACGGACAGGGCCCGGATCAAACGGTCAGTGCTTTCGGCTCGTGAGCCACGTTGTTTCGGCCTGAAGTGCATCTCGCTCTTGTCGCAGAAGCGCCTGGGAGCTTCGGACAAAGGGAACGACCCGTCAGAACGGTCGGACTCTGGTCTCAAGAGGAAGAAACAAACGATTCAAAGGATCAAATGGTTAGCATTCTTGATATGCTGGGCTGCAACTCCTTATGACAAAAGAAGCAACCACATAACAGCTGACCTTCAGGGGCGACTCCCCTCCACGTTGGACCCTCCGAGGGTCTCCCAGATGCTTTCAGTTCTTCTCTTCACGTGAGACCTGGGCCAATCTGCACCCCATCTGCCCAAGGGCTGCACCATCTCACGCTCATGGTTGGCCAGTTCCTTTTGAACCTGGGCGGCCAGGTGGACCGACAGTTTCCCAAAGGCGGCCCAACGACAGCCTTCGCAGTTTTTGGACATGGACCATTCATACGATTCTGATAGCTGATAGCAACACCGCTCATTACCGCTCTGTGTGTGCTTTTTAAGGCCGTGGGGGGGTAGGCCGTAGCTGAAGTAGCTACTACCTAGGACACAGAAGGGCCGGCCCGGCTTCATCAAGGAAGCTCCAGACAGGAGGGAGCTTCCCTGAAGAAGCCATTCATTCCTATGTTCCAATGACACCAACCCGCCCCAGTGTCACATAGTGCCACAACTACAGCTCATGAAAGGTGTATATGTAGGATTACATCACAAAACGAAACCATGGCCCTTGGCCCTTTGCTGAGCTGTTCAGTGCTTTTTCAACCCAGAAGAGCTTCGACTGATCCTTCTCTGTGTCGCCGACACGTGCGACCGCTTGCATTTGCGCCTGGTGAATGGATCAGGGCATCGGGGGTTGATTTACATCCTTGATTTGTCAGAGGTCTTCTACACAGCACTTTGATTGGCCTGTGCAAGGGACTCGGAGTCCAAGCACGGTGCTGCGTTTCACGTCTCTATCATCAAAGGACGCAAACGACTTTGTCTCCGCCAAATGGGCACAATATGGCACAATGGCTGATTGCTGAATTGAGCTGCTGGCGAATCCGCCAACAACCAGGCGAGAAGGGCCCGAAGGACCCCATGCCGCCATACACCGGCAGAAAAAACTCAGGCAGCAACATCTGAAAAGTAGACTGATCCTTAGGGTGACAACCCTTCAAACAAGAAGATTGGGGCACTGGGGCATCCAGGTCCACTGCACCTTTAGGCAACGAAAAAACGACCTCAGCTTGCAGTCAATTCGATTGCAACGGTGATTCGAGTATGGGTCAGAGCTTTGGCCGCTATGTACAGCAGTGGCCGTCTATTAAAGATGACCGCACAAACGGCTGCAACTGGCCATCACTGAAATCATGATGGCACATGTAGAACAAGAGAACAACACAACAAATCCTTCGAAACTAAGCCCTGAAATACAAGAATCACTACGTGGGGAAAAGCCTGGTAAACCCGTGTGAATGTGTGAAGCACTTTTGGACACCATGACCTGAAGGCAGCTGTCTCCGACATGATTTCCTTGGGCGATTTCAAGAACCGAAGCGGGAGGCTTGGCTGCCTTGGCTGGAGCTCTATCCAATCAGGTTCTTCAAGCTGCAAAAGGCAAAGAACCTCTTCTCAAGTGGTTTTGCAAAAGAAGTTGGCTCTGGGGCAGTTTAATGTCTAAGCCCTTGCCTCTTGCACGTGTGTCGCACGTAGCACTGTGCAGTGCTTTGATGTACCAGCAGGCTTTGATGATGGATGGCATATGGTCAAAAGGAAACACACGTTTTGCCCTTGGAGTTGATGTCTTCAGCGCTGTCCTGACCCCACAATCGTCAGCCGCCCTGTGTCAAACCTGTCGGGCGATACAAGATTATATAACCAGCTGCTGCAACGGTGGTTATTGGCTGACTACAGTATACCATATGGTTATTGTAATGTTTTGTATTATATATAATATACCTGCTCGGGTCCCGGGTCGCAACAAACTTGTTTAGCCAGACCAGTGTTTTCTTGGGATCGAAAACAAGTTCAGTATCAGGAAACACAATGCCAACTCGGGGCAAAGCCTGCTTTGCAAAAAACCTGTGTGTGAAGCGAATCTGCACCATCGTTGTCAGCAACTCAACGTCAGCCTCAGCAGGAACCCATCAATCCGATCTTCCGACATGATCAACATGGTGAGTCTACCCTTATGATTGGGTATTGTGGCCTTGGCACGGGCATGGCTGACTTACAGCGAACCATACTAAACAAGAAAGTGCTGCTAGGTCCCTTTTCGATGTTACTAATTACACCAAATGCAAAAACAA